TTGCTGTGGAATGTAGGGGAGAGACTTTAAGCTATAAGGAACTAAACGCAGAGGCAAATAGACTAGCACATTACCTGATCGCACAAGGTGTTAAACCAGATGATCGCATCGCACTCTGCACCAAGCGCAACACAACAATGATCGTTGCAATGCTCGGCATTCTCAAAGCAGGCGGTGCATATGTACCACTCGATCCGGCCTATCAAAGTCAACGATTGATCCATATTCTACAGGATGCTGATCCGAAATTTTTGTTGACAGATGCTACTGGCCGGAAAGTAATCGAAAACCATAAAGTTCCAATGGTTGAGTTGGATAAACCATTGCCTGTTGATTTGCCAATCGATAATCCGGACGCAACCAAGCTTGGAGTCACTCCAAACAATTTGGCCTATATTATTTACACGTCTGGCTCAACAGGAACACCTAAAGGAGTTATGGTTGAACATCGCGATGCAACACATTTATTCAAATCTGTATACGACAAATTTGATTTTAACAACGAAGACAAGTGGTGTTTGTTCCATTCAATTTCTTTCGATGTTTCCGTTTGGGAAATATGGGGTGCACTGTCGAATGGAAGTCAATTGTCAATTGTTCCATACGAAATCAGTCGTTCGATGGACGATTTCTACGATTGGATTTGTTCCACCGGCATTACTGTGCTAACTCAAACTCCCTCTGTATTTAAAATGCTTATGCGAGCTGAAACGATTAGCTCACGGTCCGATCGATTACGATATGTGATCTTTGGTGGTGAAGCGTTAGATCCATTCATCATAAGGGATTGGCATGAAAAATGCATTAAAAATCGAACAGTATTGGTCAATATGTATGGCCCTACGGAAACAGTAATGATTGCAACAAGTTGGATCTGTGATGTTACACTTTCCGATAACTTGCCGACTCCAATCGGACGTCCGTTACCAAACAAAAAGATTTATTTGCTGGATGCACATGGTGAGCTTGTGCCATTAGGAGCCGAGGGAGAATTGTACATTGGAGGTGCTGGTGTGGCACGTGGCTATCTAAATCGATCGGAACTAACCGCGGAACGTTTTCTACCCGACCCATTCAGCGATAATACAGAAGCACGCATGTACCGTACTGGTGATCGAGCACGATATCTGCCTGACGGAAATTTGATATATTTGGGACGTATTGATCAGCAAGTGAAAATTCGTGGTTTCCGAATTGAGCTCGGTGAAATTGAAGCCCACCTAGTCGAACATCCTCAAGTACACGAGGCTGTAGTTCAACCGTATGGCAATGGATCAGATGCTCGTCTTATAGCTTATGTGGTGGCCGATGCGAATACATCGTTAGCCCAAGATTTGCGTACATATCTATCAACTTTACTGCCTGATTATATGGTACCAGCAGCTTATATGTATCTACCATCCTTGCCTCACACACCAAATGGCAAGCTAGATCGATGCGCATTGCCGGCTCCGGATGATGAAGCGTTTGTTCGTGAGAAGTATGAAGCTCCACAGGGTGAAATGGAAGAAAAACTGGTCGACATTTGGAGTGAACTGCTCAGCATTGATCGTATCAGTCGACATGATAATTTCTTTGCGCTGGGAGGACATTCTTTATTGGTCGTACGGCTGTTAGCACAATTGAGAAATATTGGACTAGATACCACCGTACGTGAATTGTTTGATGCACGCACACTGGCCATTATGGCTGCAAAACTTGCCCATTACCAAGCCGTGACCATTCCTCCCAATCTAATTACCACAGACAGCACTGCCATTACTCCAGAAATGTTGCCACTTATCACACTTTCCCAAGCAGATATTGATGCAATAATTGCACAGATACCTGGCGGAGTAGCCAATATCCAAGATATTTATGAATTGGCGCCATTACAGAACGGTATGTTGTTTCATCATATAAAAGCCGAACGCGGTGATCCGTACCTACTAGTAAGCGCTATGCGGTTTAGAGACCGGATGGTACTTGATCATTACGCGGCCGCCTTGCAACAGGTAATTGAGAGGCACGATATCCTTCGCACAATATTCATCTGGGAAGGTCTCAGTGTACCAGCACAGGTAGTTCTGCGCCAAGTTCCCTCTCTACTCAGTGAAGTTACATTGGATAATACCAGCAGCACAACACTAGAGCAGTTGAGCCAACAATTCAATCCACGTCACTATCGGTTGGACCTAACACATGCACCACTATTGCGATTGATGGCTGCTCCAATATCTGATGGTAGCTGGGTTGCACTGCAATTGTTGCACCATGTAATTGGAGACCATACCACACTGGAGAAACTGGATGCAGAAGTTAATGCCATCATCAACGGTAAGATTGAAAATTTGACAAAGCCTACACCATTCCGTCATTTAGTGGCGCACGCTCGGCTGGGAATTAGTTCAAATGAACATAGCCGATTCTTCAGTAAAATGCTTGGTGATCTTGAAGAGCCAACCTTGCCATTTGGTTTAAGTGATGTTTCTCTGGACGGGAATGATATAGTTGAATTTCAATTGGAGTTGCCAAAAACACTGAATGATCAGCTACGTATGATCGCACGGAAGCTACAGGTCAGCTTAGCTAGCATGTGTCATTTGGCTTGGGCACAAGTTCTTGCTCGAGCCAGTGGACGTGAGGCGGTTGTCTTCGGTACTGTACTACTTGGTCGTTTACAGGCTGGAGAAGAGAACAATAACATCATGGGACCGATGATTAACACGCTCCCAATACGGATAGATATTGATGATACCAGCGTCGAGACCGCAGTGCGTCATACTCATGCTCGACTGAGTGCATTGTTGGCACACGAACATACACCACTTGTGTTGGCCCAACGCTGCAGTGGAGTTCCAGCTGGCTCGCCATTGTTTAACGCCATGTTGAACTATCGCCATAATTTGAAGTCGGAGCAAAGCACTGAGTCACTCTCTGGAGTCGATGTAATAGATGTTGAGGAGCGAACAAATTACCCATTGGTAATGTCGGTTGAAGATGATGGTGATTCGCTGGGACTGACACCACAAGTAAGTTCACCATTGTCAGCAGCTCGAATTGGTGCATATATGCAACAAGCTCTGGAATCTATAGCCGATGCGCTAACGAACATGCCTGAACAACCGCTAAGAACATTAACAGTCATTCCACCGGAAGAGCGCATGTTGCTACTGCACACCTGGAATGAAACCACGGCTACCTATCCATCCGAACACTGCCTTCACCAATTATTTGAGGCGCAGGTGGAACGCGAAGGGCAGGCGATTGCTGTGGAGTATAAGGGAGAGACCATGAGCTACATGGAACTCAACGCTCAAGCAAATCAATTGGCACATTACCTGATCGCACGAGGTGTCAAACCAGATGATCTTATTGCACTTTGCGTTGAGCGCAGTATAACAATGATTGTAGCGATGTTGGGAATTCTTAAAGCAGGTGGCGCTTATGTACCACTCGATCCGGTCTATCCGAGCCAACGACTAACTAATATTCTACAAGATGCCGACCCGAAATTCTTGTTAGTAGATGCTACTGGTCGGAAAGTACTCGGAGATCATCAAGTGCCAGTTATAAAATTAGACGAACCATTGCCTGATGATTTACGTAATGATAATCCAGACGTAATCAAGCTTGGACTCAACTCAACCAATTTGGCTTATGTAATTTACACCTCTGGCTCAACTGGAACACCAAAAGGAGTTATGGTTGAACATCACCAAGTAGCACTATTACTTCAGTCTGGACATGACAAATTTGATTTTAATACTCAGGATAAGTGGTGTTTGTTCCATTCGATCTCTTTCGACTTTTCTGTTTTTGAGACATGGGGAGCATTGTGCTATGGAAGCCAACTGTCGATATTACCATACGAAACCGCCCGTTCTACGGACGAATTCTATGATTGGATATGTGCTAGCAGTATTACTGTGCTGAATCAAACGCCATTGGCATTGAAAATGCTGATGCGAGTGAAAAATATCAGTCCGCGATCCGATAAACTACGATATGTTTTCTTCGGTGGTGAAGCATCAGACTCATCAATTATAAGCGACTGGAATGAAAATAGTATTAATAGTAAAGCTGTACTAGCCAATGTGTATGGCCCAACCGAAACTGTTGTTTTTGCATCAAGTTGGGTTTGCGATAACACAATTTCTGAAAACTCACTCTTACCAATCGGTCGTCCACTAGCCAACAAAAGAATTTACCTCTTGGATGCAGATGGCGAGCCAGTGCCACTAGGAGCCGAGGGAGAAATGTATATTGGTGGTACTGGTCTTGCACGTGGCTACCTTAACCGTCCTGACCTAACTGCTGAACGTTTTCTGCCCGATCCATTCAGTGATAATCCAACAGCACGCATGTATCGTACCGGCGATCGAGCAAGTTATCTGCCAGATGGAAATTTGGTCTTTTTGGGACGCACAGATCAGCAAGTGAAAATCCGTGGATTCCGAATTGAGCTCGGTGAAATTGAAGCCCAACTAATCGAACATCCTCAAGTGCGCGAAGCGGTTGTACAAATCTATGGCAATGGATCAGATGCCCGACTGGTAGCTTATGTTGTGGCAGACATAGATACATCATTAGCTCAAGATTTGCGCACGTATCTTTCGACCTCACTGCCTGACTACATGGTACCAGCAGCTTATGTGTGTCTACCATCTTTACCGCTCACACAAAATGGCAAATTAGATCGGCGAGTTCTACCGACTCCGGATGAAGACGCGTTTACTCATCAGCACTATGAAGCTCCACAAGGAGAAATGGAAGAAAAGCTAGCCAATATATGGCGTGAATTGCTGAACGTTAAACGTATTAGCCGACATGACAATTTCTTTGCTCTGGGAGGACATTCCTTATTCGTTGTTCAGTTGTTGGCACAGCTAAGACGTATCGGTCTGGATACCACTGTACGAGAAGTATTTGATGCTCCCACCCTGGCCAAGCTAGCTTTGACTCTTACTCATTACCAAGCAATGTCTATTCCACCGAACCAGATTAGCACAGACAGCACTGCTATTACTCCAGAAATGTTACCGCTAATCACTCTGTCTCAGTCAGAGATTAATGCAATTGTTGCACAGATACCTGGTGGAGTAGCGAATATTCAAGATATTTATGGATTGGCGCCTTTGCAGTACGGTATGCTGTTTCATCATTTGAAAGCTGAACGTGGTGACCCATACTTGGTAGTGAGGCAACTAAGTTTTATTGACCGTACAACTCTTGAACGGTATGCAAACGTCCTTCAACAGGTGATTGAGAGACACGATATTTTACGCACAGTCTTCTTTTGTGAAGGGCTCAATGAACCGGCACAAGTTGTTCTGCGCCGGGTTCCGTCATTACTCAACGAGATAATGTCATCTGATGGTACTGGTGAACAAATACTAAAGCAGTTCAGCCAACAATTCAATCCGCGTCATTATCGGCTAGACTTGACACAGGCACCGCTATTGCGTTTAATAGCTGCGCCAACGTCTGAAGGAAATTGGGTGGCATTGGAACTGATGCATCACATAATTGGTGACAATCCTACACTAGAGCGACTGCAGACAGAAATTCAAGCAATATATGACGGTCAGATTGAGAATCTGACAGCTCCCACACCATTCCGCCAAGTAGTGGCTAAAGTTCGCTTTGGAGTTAGACCAGCTGAGCATACCCGTTTCTTCAGTGATATGCTTCACGATATTGACGAATCAACTTTGCCGTTTGGTTTGAGACACGATGAGTGGAATGGAAGCGATATTGACGAAGCGCAGCTGACATTACCGCAGACGCTCACTGATGAATTGCGGGCGTATGCACGAAAGCTTAGGGTCAGTTTGTCTAGTTTGTGTCATCTTGCCTGGGCACAAGTACTTGCTCGAGCTAGCGGACGTGAAGCAATAGTATTTGGTACTGTGTTACTAGGACGTTTACAAGCCGGAGAAGGAAACGACACTGCAATGGGGCCGATGATAAACACTTTACCTTTGCGAATAGATATTGATGAGATGAGTGTCGAGACCGCAGTGCGACAAGCACATGCTCGATTGAGTGCATTGCTAACGCACGAATACGCGCCGCTTGTCTTGGCACAACAATGTAGTGGAATTCCCGCTGGTATACCGTTATTTAGTGCACTGCTTAACTATCGCCATAATCAACAAAGCAAACAAGTCAATGATTCTTTTCCTGGAGTCACTTTCTTAGGTGGTGAAGGCCAAACCAATTACCCGTTAACCATATCCCTAGATGATAACGACAATACTTTGAGCCTGTCAGTTCAAGTGGTATCATCGCTATCAGCAGCTCGGATCGGTGCTTATATGCAACAGGCTCTGGAATCGCTAACTGATGCATTAACTCATACACCACAGCAACCAGTTCGGACATTAACAGTGATACCACCGGAAGAGCG